AGGCACTAAAAATCATTGGGTTATGACAAGAGGAAGATCTGGATGCAAAGCATTCATTTTATAAAGACAAGTCAAGAGTTGCTGTGTTGGTTCCTAAAACTCTCCCATGTATTCTCTGATAGCATCCTATTGGTATTTGGGAGAAGAGTATAAGAACTTGGAACATGTGCTCCGGGCAACATAGAGAAGTTGAGATGCATGTAGGCATGTAAGGGACGTGTACATTTATTACATGTATAAAAACCAAACCAAACCACCTGTAGCACCTTTGTCCCTTCAAAAAATAAAGGCCAGGTCAATTTGTTCTCAAATGTATCTCAGGCAGGAATTCCCTCCTAGTCTTTGAATGGTGTCTCACCACCTGTACACCAAATCTTAATGTGCCATGCGTCCTTGATGCAAGAGATTTGCTAGAGCTGGAGAGACCCATTAGTGTAACCCAGTGGCGGGGCAGAGATGGTGCAAATGGGTGCACATGCACCTCCTGAATTTGGCAATTAGGTGAAAGTGTTCCAGTGCAATACTAAGTCTGGTAGACACTTCACTGAAACTCACTTGAAACACACACCAGGAGAAATTTTCTTACAGCTAAAAAGATCAGATATGTTGCATTCTCAAGACCTACTTCCACGTTTTTAACTGCTCTAAAGATCAAAGACCAGAATTCCCAAACACATTTTTATCTGATACCAGTCTTATTCCTGAGCTTACATTTTGCGAGACAATTTATACATATTTAAATAAAATAAATCTGGGGAAAAAAATGAAATGTTGATATTTCCCACCCAAATAGGAATAGTTTTGGCCACCTACTTATCCAGGTATTACTAAAAGCAAATAGTGGATGTAGAATGTATGAACTGATAGCTTCTTTCCAGTGGTTTGCAATAGCCCAGATGTGGACTGTTCAGCAGTACAGCCAACACGGATCCTGAAACATCAGCATTGGACTATGGACGTGAACCTCTGGTAAACATCTGCTGGTTCATGTCCAGTCAGTAAACGGTGCATTGCTGCTCCATACCATGGGTGTAAGTTATGACGGGGGAAGGTTATTTGTACTGGTTGTTGGCAATGCCGTTTATCATTTCAAAAACTTGGATTTTATATCATTGGCATGGGCCAGTGGGTTATAGGCAGTGCACAGCACTACCAATACTTCTCCTGACTGAAGTGCCTTTCAATGAGTGGTTTATAAAACAAGTAAACAGGCAAATGAACCAGAAGTCTGATATTAGGATGCAATCTGATTTCTTTTAATGGGAATGAGAAGAGAAACATACATTTTCAAAGCCAAAGAATGAGAAAGAGAAACAACATATTTCCAGAGTTTGAAACAGGTCTACAACCAATCCTCCACTCCAAAAAGCTGCATGCACACAAGCTGGTCTTCTTTTCTTCTCACAGTGCTAGATTTCAACAATCCCACTTTTCAGGAAAATAAGTCCTTTGAGTCAGGAAAAAGAGTTACACAAGGAAAGCACCAAGTAGCTTTTCTTATTCTACATTTTACATGCTGAAATGGATTTTGTTAAAAGCTGAAGGCCATAAGCAGGTGGTACAACTTGGCATAAACAGTCACATTGTGGTGGATGCTAACTTCCTTCTACGCCACTTTAGTCATAAAGTGGGTAGCGAACGATTGCATACCTGCTCTGCTACCTGAATAAGGGCATAGATTCTACATTTTACATGCTGAAATGGATTTTGTTAAAAGCTGAAGGCCATAAGCAGGTGGTACAACTTGGCATAAACAGTCACATTGTGGTGGATGCTAACTTCCTTCTACGCCACTTTAGTCATAAAGTGGGTAGCGAACGATTGCATACCTGCTCTGCTACCTGAATAAGGGCATAGTGCTATCATTAGTAAAGAGAGGGAGTATTACAGAAAAGAGATCTTCATGCACTGGAAAGATTTTCAGAGCTCCTGAGCGCCCTCGGCACCCGCAGCATAGAGAAGCAGTGGGTGTTTTGTGCCTCTGGAAACAATGTCCCTCTGCTCATTCCTGAATCTGAATCTTGTTCCCCATTTCTTGGCTATTCCTTTCTGTCACACATATTCCTGCTGCTTTAGCATGGCCCGCAGCCTCCGTAGCGGTATCTGTTGAGCTGGCTGGAATAAGAGGGGTATGAGTACCCAGTGCCCACTGAGCCTCTGTACCCCAGGTAGCCGCCGGCAGTGTATGGGCCGCCAATGCACTGGGGTTCTGAGGTGCCCACGTAGCTCTCCTGGGGGCAGGAGGCGAGGATGGGTCCGGGGAAGGTGATGGCCACCGGGGGTGGGTAGACCACGGCCCTGGAGTCACCGCAGGACGTCACGCAGGGCTCGTTCCAGGCATTGGCATATGGCCGCGGACAGGTCACCTCACAGGGGTTGTAGCAGCGGGAGCTGATCAGCTGTCCGTAGGAAGACATGTTCCTGCAGTGGAGGTTGGCCTGAAACACAGGAGGGAAAGAGGGGAACATAACGCACGTGAGGAATCAGAGTACAGCTCCTGCAGACGTGTGCTCTGCTCTAGGAGCCTGTGGTCTCCAGGGAGAAGGTGAATTTGCTGTTTGCTTCCATCTCTCTGTCTACCTCATCTTTCAGTCTGGAAAACCTCTTCCCTCCCTCCTAAGCAATGCCTCTGAAGCCTTTGTGCACAACCTCCCTTCTCCCCACATCAAACAGCACATCTTGCAGACAGATGCAGAAGCCTATGCTATAAAGCCCAACTGCAAGGCCAGGGAAACTTCTGGCCAGCTGGCCTGAGCTGAGTGCTGCACTGCTCAGGTGTACGACCATGAAACCCTGACCATGAATGCCTGCACAGCAATTTAAAACCAGCCCAGCTGTGAGTGGGCACAGACAGCTACAACTCAAGAAGTGGAGACATAGCCTGATCCACCCACTCCTCCAACCCAAAAGGTAGAAAAAGGCCACAACAGGATGAAACCTCAGAGTATTTTTGCAGAACAATTCTACAGTAGTTGCTAAAGCAATAGATTCACAAGCAGAAGGAGATACTGAGAGTTTTCAAACTTACTGGGTTCTCTGGGGTGGAGAGGTGAAGAGATGTGTATAAAGGAACGCTGAAGAGCGACTGCTTTTATACTATTTCCCAGCTTGCCCGGAGGATGGGAGATGCCCTGGATGGGAGAGGTCTTGATTAGTAACAGAACAGAGTTGATTGCACATCACACTGAGATGCATGCAAATGTTTTTTTTTACTCATTGTCCGTGTGTTGCCTGAAAAGTTCTCAGATAACCTTGGATAACTACAGCATGGAGCAGGTTGGGGCAATATACTAGTCAGCCCTGAGTAGCGACTGCTTTTATACCATTTCCCAGCTTGGCCGGAGGAAGGGAGATGCCCTGGATGGGAGAGGTCCTGATTAGTAACAGAATGGAACTGATTGTAACAAAGTTATAGGGTGTTTTGAGCTTCCACATTATAGCCTATGGATGAAATTTCAAAACAGCATGGAAACAGCAAAACTACCAATACTTCTCATGAAGGAGGTGCATTTCAATGAGTGGTTCATAAAACAACAAGAGACGAAGAAAACCAAAGGCTGATATTAGGGTGCAATCTGATTTTTTTTAATGGGAATGAGAAGAGAAACATACATTTTCAAAGCAAACAAAATGAAGAGTACAAAGAACATATTTCCGGAGATTGAAGCAGTTTGCATAGCTTTTCACTTTACATGTTGAAATGCATTTTCTTAAAAGCTAAAGGCAAGAAACTAATGCATTTGCCACACATGGTCACATTGGGATTGGCTGTTAATTCCCTTCTACATGGCTTTAGTCATGCAAAGTGGATTTTGAATGATTGCGTACCTGGTCTGCTACATGAGTAAGGGCATAGCGACATCATTCAGAAAGATATGGAGTATTACAGAAAAGAGAACTTCATGCAAAACGTCTTCCTAGTTGTGGTGATTGGTCGGTGTGAACTTCCCAATCATTAGTCCATGATGTTGTCACCTACAGAAGGGATTGGTGATCACATGAATTCCTTAGGTGGCTTTGAGCCTACAATTGCTTTGATGCCAAATATCACTTACTTTGCAACTTTAAGGCAGATATGTACAGAGAACATAGACAAGGTCCATGTATATTTAGACCAGTTAGGGATCTTAATATAATGCTTCCTGCAACTCCAGAAATGGGCTTTTAACTGTAGTGATGGAGAGGTAGCTATAGCAGTTTTTTATTTAGTTTATAGATATGGCTGCAACACCCTATTGGCTCTGGCTTGCAGAGGGAGGGTTTCTATTTAATGTTTCTGTGCTCTAAGGTGTGTCAAAAAGAAACCTCACATTAAGGTTTGTTTATGCTAAGCTTCATCACTTCTGGGTTTTCATACCTGCTTCCAAAGTGCATGGTGCTCGATCTCTTCAAATATGTATGCTATGGTTTCAGTTGATGCTATAAGATGTTGTTCCCTTTCAGATGAGAGGAAGTATCTTGCTCCATACTTATCTGGGGAGATAGTGAGCTACTTCCTGAGATATCTGAGGTGAGGATAGGGAGGTCTGAGGCTCTTGGGCACACCTCATGCCGAGGGAGCCCCAAAAGCCATGGGACTGAGCCAGGCTGAGCCCCTCAGGCACCAGGGGAAGAGGGTGGTAGATCTTAGCCTGCTATCATTAATAAAGAGAGGGAGTATTACAGAAAAGAGATCTTCATGCACTGGAAAGATTTTCAGAGCTCCTGAGCGCCCTCGGCACCCGCAGCATAGAGAAGCAGTGGGTGTTTTGTGCCTCTGGAAACAATGTCCCTCTGCTCATTCCTGAATCTGAATCTTGTTCCCCATTTCTTGGCTATTCCTTTCTGTCACACATATTCCTGCTGCTTTAGCATGGCCCGCAGCCTCCGTAGCGGTATCTGTTGAGCTGGCTGGAATAAGAGGGGTATGAGTACCCAGTGCCCACTGAGCCTCTGTACCCCAGGTAGCCGCCGGCAGGGGATGGG